TTTGTCTTGTACATTTTAGGATTTTGAGGTATTATATCACTAGCTAGCTAGCCCTTTTGAGTCGTCAGCCTTTTGTTGATAGTCATATTTTTCCCTTGACTCCTTTTGTGGAATTCTTAGTTTTTGAACATTGCTTTCTAGAATAGTGTAGCATAGACTGAATATAATTTTTAATTATGAAGAAAAAAGGATGATCGAGTGAAAAAAGGTAATCAATGTTAATTACAAAGTGATTAATAAGTGCTCTTTGAAAGAATGTGAAAAGAAAAAAGAAAAAAATCCTCTGAAAAGGAAAAAATTGTAGCATTCTTGATATGATGAGAATTACTTGTGAAATAATTATTAAACAGGGGGCTGAAAATAATGGGTGATGAAGTCTAAAAGTGCAAGTGCTTAGGGAAGTGCAAGTCACTATTATATAGTTTTTCTATCCTTCCCCTAGCCTACATTACACCCCATTAAAGTCCTATATTATTCTATTTGAGAATTTTTAATTAGTTGAGATATACATAATGGGCAACCTATGGTTCTTTGTGCATACATGTGAAATTTATTTGTGAGTGTGAGAGTTGTTCTTTGGTGTTATATCCTTAATTTGGATTCAATCTTTTCAGTTGTGCGTATGGACAATTTCTTCTTATGAGGGCACTTGTCTCATGATATATATAGGTGATTTTATCAGATTTATTTGATTAGAGTAGGTGACCAGACTTAAATTCGATGAATTCAAAGTCCTTTCTTGAAGGTTAGAAGGTTAGGAGGCTAGAGGTTTGTTTATTTTTATATCTAGAATAATAATTGAAAAGTGTATTTTATGTTTTGAAATTTTTTTATGGACTAATTGTTTGTATATACTAAAGTGATGACATTTCTAGTATGATTTTTTTTAATGAGCTTAAATGTTTGCTTGAGGAGGAACAAAATTTCAAGTGAAGGGTGTTGACGTAAGGCCAAAAAATATTTTTATTCATTATTTATCTCACATTTATTATTTGCATTTTTCCTTTTTGAGCAAGAATTTTATGGATGGTGCTTAGTAGTGTATTTTATTTGTATAATTAAATTGAAAAGTTGAAGAAGTTTGAAACTTAAAACGAATTTTAAAAAAAAGAAGAGAAAATCAAACAAACAGTTTAATGAATTAAATTGAATATAATAATATATAATACTTAAATTGAATATAAAAATATATAATACATAAGAAGTGCATATTGCATATTGCATATTGCAAATTGTGAATTTCTAACGTCAAAGAGAAAATTGTTGCCACGTGTCAATGAAATTATGTTGAGGCGGTTGGATTACAATGATATTAAATTCCTTTTGGTTTCGATTTTTAAATTTGTTTTGGACTAAACTATTTTATTATTTTCCACCTCTATAAATAGCACATGATAATAATAATTATTAGAGAATAAATCAATCATATACTTTGTAAGGAAAAGTTGTCGATGAAACCATTTTAGGGTTCTTTTCTTCTTCTTTTCTTAGAGATTAGTAGTTAAAGAATCTCCTTCTGGGGCTGCAGCTATGGGTAATTGGTGAACATTGATTATTTTGAATTAATGAGTGGTAATATTGATCACCACAGAAATAATATATTGTCTATTCTTGGACTCGAGAAACGAAGAGGTAGACAGATCAGAAGATACAAAGAACTCGAACTCTATTGCACATCACTTATTCAGATTGGTGTTCAGGATTGACACCCCGACAAAAACAAAGATTTGTTACAAAACAAGATGAAATATAAATGTGCACCAATTGAGTCTCTCTATCGCCACTCAACAATATAGTTAGACAATCAATTGGAGTAGGCGATTAGAGGTCGGAAGATCATGATCATAAAATAAACTTTGTAAATCAGTATTTTGATAATCTTAGTTAATTCAGTACATGAGGTGTGATACATCAAAACCTTAAGTATATACTAATTGTAAGTAAGTTTATTATTTCACTTATAATATGTTGTAGCCCTAGAATAATATCACTTATTGTAAGTAAGTTTATTACTTCATTCGTGCATTCTTAGTAGTTAAATATAAATTAATTTTTTTTGCCCACTTGAATAAATAATTTGTCTATTATAATTTAGTAAAATAATTAATTGAAAAGTCCTTTGGTTTGTTTTAGAGTCAATATATTATTTGCGCTACCACATATATTTGTGTGTGCAATTGAAAGCAACGAGTTTTTGAACCCTAGACGTGGTGTCACCGGTACAAGAGTGTCTAAGTACAAAAAGAATATATACATTAAATCTGTCTAATTTAAATAAAACTACATAGAAGGTACCAAAAAGAAGGAAATAATCAAATGGCCAAATACATAAACAGATCCTTAAACTTGTTGGGATTTTTCCCTCGAGTACCTCAACTACATCATTTTTCTACTGAATCATTGAATCACCCATAATTTGTTCCTTTAAAACACTGTTGGTTGATATTGATCGGCTTTTCTATTGTAAATGCCTTCAATTGTGTTCGAATTGTAATATTTTGATTGAAGGAATGAAGACAAACCGTGTTAGTCTAATTTGTTTTCTAATGTGTTCAAATGACTTAAGTAAAACACAATTATTCTCGAGCATTTTCATTATCAATTGGATTAATGAGTTCTAGAACAACATATGTATCCTCTATCAATACCCCTCACAAATCTGGTTCCACATCAGTCAACAGTGTTTGTTTAAACGGAACAAATTATGGAGGTTCAATGATTCAATAGGAAAATGACGTAGTTGAGGTACCTGAGAGAAAAAACCCAACAAATTTAGGAATCTGCTTATGTATTTGGCCTAATCAAATCTTTAGACACAATGAGATAACCACAATCCAACCACGAAAACCATGAAGCATCCAAACTCGGCAAGGGTGCTTTTACTAGGAATTAAATTAGAAAAAGATGTAGGAATATAATATGAGTACCGAAATATGGGGTATTTAATACGCATCATAGTCCGGTCAAGCTCAGATATAAATAATATTAATAAAATAGGCTTCATAGTGCTAATACAACGATTTAATAACTAACTAGAATCACATACGCCACTTCTGACCTTGAAGATAATAAAAATAAAGAGTATTCTACATCCAAAAAGAAGTAAAATCACGTTGAAGATATATAATGCAAGGTGATGCAATGTACATATAGTTAATGAATAAATGTAAAAGCTCAGCAAAGTTCCCCGAGTCGCTTAGAATGGTTCTCAAGCTCAACCTGACATTATTCCTCAGAAGTTCTTCATCGATCTTAAAAGTGTAAAAGTAAACAAAAATAAATCCTTTGAGTTTATCTTTCAACAAAACTCACCGAAATTTGCATGTTTAAAACATATATGTATCATTGTGTCCATAATTCCTATACAATTAGTACATTTTCTGAAGTACTGAAACGTCAAGAGTGAAACAAAGAAGTTAAAGTAAGTATCTCCTTCAAAGAAAAATGTGCTTTCTTCAAAATGATAAGTTCCCTCGAGAAAAACCAGTAATATGTATCCTTAGAGCAAAAAGTACGTATAAAAAAATTGTATAAGAGTCCCAAATACATAGTTCTCACATATTTAATTCAAGTCTATCCAAAAAATAGATGTCATGCATATAAATGCATTCCAAAAATAGATTTCATGCATATAAATGCATACCAAACCACTACAACAAAAATGACTTTTAACGAAAGAAAATCCTAACGTTAAAAATTCATATACAGTCGTTAAATGTCTGTAACGACCGGCAAAAAATTGGTCGTCACCGGACGTTAAAAGTTCCATCGTTAAAGGTTAACGACCAGATTGCATAGCCGGTCATTAGATATTACTTAGCGACAACCATAAATCCGATCGCCACATTTACCAACAATGACTAGAAATTCCCTTCATTGATGATCATTTGATCGTTAATATGTTGAAGTAAAACCATAATTTCTAGTCGTTACAAGTACTTTCAGTGGTCCGATTCTTTCCTTGATTACATTACTTTTACAGTTCTGGATCTTAATATCTTTTTTTTTCTGCACAAGCCATAATAAACTTAATATAAACTTTCTTAATATGTTTTGTTATGAACGAAAACATACTGAAAAACATAAATACAAATATGTGTTCAACACAATATCTAAGAAACATATTCAACATAAGATCTAAACATCATAGATGTTCGACATAAATATTATAAAACACATATTTTAGGTGTCTATCGAATCCTAATATCGAGAAAATGAAATAACTGCATATATATATATATATATATATATATATCTTTCTTTTCAGCTGGCTTCACAATTCTTCAACAATCTAAGACGTTTAATCTTCATCACATTCTTCATCATATGTTTTTACAAAACAATTTGAGGTCAATTCGTCACAAAATGCCGGTTTGATATAACTTGTAACTTTTAAAACATATGAATCAATCATTAATAACAAAACTCAACCAAAATAGATAGTGGAAAAGCGTCCTAATTAAGTCTTTTTGCAGATTGCTATCATTTAGTCCAAGTGAAGAATATCATTTTTATACGAGACCCAACATGTTTGACTTCTTACAAGTTTTATAAAGAAATTATATCATATCAACATCAATTATCTCTCTCATTTTTAGAAGCAAATGTACAATGTATGTTCCATACATCACCTTTATTGCTGAAAAGAGGTTCCAACAGTGTCCTAGCATTTGGAGAAAGCCACCAGCAGGCTCCACTACTGAACTATATAGGCTACCCAAAATTCATTCATGTGACTGTGAACCTTATTATGGAGATAAACTAAAATGAGATAACCATCTTTCACATTTACAAAATTCAACAAGTTCAACAAATTTAGAGTTCTTATTAAAAAACTATAACACAATAAAGATTTAACACGAAACACAAATACTAAGGTGAATATGTAGGAAAGGGACTCAGTTCTGAACATAAGAATTGAGAAAAAGATATGATCTATAAGCATATAGTCTCCTTTATCATTGAAAGTAGTACAAGTGAAGTCTATCTTCCTTCTAAAATCAACTTACAATAGACAGACAAACCACTCATTAGCAAAGCCCTTACCAAAGATGAACATTTGTTAATAACATCACTAAAATCATTGAAAAGTACACATCATGGCATATCTAATGAAAGTTTGCTAAACTGGTGTAGGTGATGGAGGTGATGGATGTTGACGACCTAATAAATTTTAAAGGCGATCATATTTACTCTCTAAAATATTAATACGCTTTTGCAGTGATTCATTTTCTTTTCGAGTTGTTTTCAGTTCTTCCAAAACACAGCCTTAGAAGTAATACCACCTTTCAAATCCTTCGTGGTTATCCCACCACCAAATCCAACTGCATAACTTTTGCATTGAGGTCCAAAGCAACGTTCCACTGCATCAATATTGGTAAGAGATGGTTCAAATTGTACAAGCTCTTGAATTTCAGCCTATAAAATACAAGAATTGTTTAATTATTTCACTGAATAAATCCAGATTGAAAATGTTAAATTAAATTTAACGATGAACATACATATTTTTCATTGGTTTCTGGTTCGACAAGCTCATTTCCCGTTTTACGAGTCTCAAAGAAGATAGTTGCCATGTTTGGTAGATTACCATCTTTGCCTCCCTTAACAAAAAGAAAAAGGTAAGTACTATAAGATCTTCTATACGAAAAGGAGGTTTCCTTGTAGGGCTTCATGATTAATTTAATAGTTTGTATATTATCTCTCTTATAGGCTTGCCACTCGTACGATGAGGCATACAGAACTTAGACCGGTTGGTTGTGTTTCTTGTACTTGAGTTCTGCATTAACAGAAGCTAAAATTATCACAAGCTTTTTTAATGGTTCTATTTGTATTCTAAATTAAATTTTGTAACTACTTAAATTTGCATCCTCTTGATCACAAATGAAATCATTTAATCAAAAGAACTATTCAAAAAGAGTTATCATATGTGACTTGGAAATAAAATGATATTCATCAGCTATAAAATCATACCATAAACTTATCAGATAAAAAATGTTCCTTGACCAACCATTTCCAATCACTCTTGTCTACTCCTGTTGAAACATCTTTCAGAAACTGGTGCAATGATTTGGATTTTATATTCTTGTGCGGAGATCCTCTACAATTGTTCCAAAGTTTTCTCATATGTTTCAAAACATTATCTCTTTGATCAGTCATGTTATCACAGTCAAACTTTTCTTGAAACGGAGAAAAGTATCATCAGAATATTATATGGGGAGGTACTGCCAATAATAGAAAGACACATGGGATTGTTTGGGATAACATGGACACATGCAGTGTATATGAAGTAATATGTCCATACATGAGATCACATACCACCTACATATTGTTGTTGGTATATATCGAAGAATGTTAACATCCCTAAATACTGGATAATTGATTACTACCAAAACATAAAGTACTAGTTGACAGAGTGAAACATACGTAATTAGCCACCAGGAGTAAAGGAGTTATAGGGATCCAAACCAGTCTTTGAGAAGCATATCTTACTTGGAAAAAATTTATTCAAACAAAGCGTAATTAAATTTATCCTCTGATTGGAAAACTAGAAAAAATTGCTTAGAACAAGAAAATGGAAGCAAACAGAACAGAAAATCTAGGTAGCAATATGGGATGTAATGATATACTACACATGGAAAGCAAAGAATTGGAAGATATTAGGGGTAATGTTGTAATTCTTACTGTAACAACTGCCCACATATGCTCAAGCTTGTGCTCTTCGATATCCATCTGTGAGTGTACCCGCAATGGGCACATATTACGATCATGAACTAGCAAACCCAAGTGTCTCGTAAATAAGATGTGATTCGACCCAACGACTCGATTTTGATAGAAAATGACTTTAAACTTATATCCGGGTTTTAATCGCAGAATTTTTTTACAAATGTTTGTTCCCCTCACCTTGGTTGTCCTATCATATTCTCATGGACCTGCAAATTTTAAAGTAAGTCAACTATGCTCTTTGATATAAATTTACTCCAGCAGTTAAGTTTTAGGTGTCAAATTTTGAAAATATAACTATATACAATGGCCTTGTCTTTTCAGATTTGTAAGCCCAAATATGCAAAATAACATTCTATCTAGTTTTCGAAAAGTACCCATCAACAGTTCCAAACCAAGTGACACCTAGACAAAATAGGACGAACATTGCCCATTGCAAGAGACAAGGCCTCAAGTTGCCAAAAAAAAATGTGATATAGAAATGGGAAACTAGCAGTGGAATAATTTTTGGAAAGCTTAAGATCCCAAATCAGTAACTTTTTATTCTTAGAAACTTTCAATCAAAAAATCACAATTATGAATTAAGAAGTGGAGGTAAATATGGTTAGTAAAAGTGAAAAAAAATAATAACGAAGCACCAGATGTCAAATAACATATGAAAGATAACTTTTCAGCTGTTTTATCAGTAACATCAAGAAAATAAAATATCACACGGAAGAAAATGCATACTAGTTTCATTTCTCGTAGCATCTTCAATCACTTCAATAACTTTTTAGCCTTTTTATACTTTAATAGACCTGCAAATTATAATATTAAAACAAAACAAAACTTCAAGATAACTAACAATGACAAAGAATAACAAAAGAGAAAGTAATATATACTAGTATCACTTCTCTGAACATCTCGATAAACTTTTGTCATTTTTTTGCCTTATCATATCCAACTGGACCTGCAAAGTTTAAAATAAGTCAATTATGCTCTTTGATAAAAATTGATCATTAATGCCAATTAATTAAAAGAATTTTGATAATGATCCAGTAGCTATGTTTTAGGTATCAAGTTCTAAAATTATTAATGTGATACAGATTGATCAGTTCAACGAGACTAAGGTAAGAAAATCATCGATTTAACTAGCGAGAATGAAATGAAATGAATCTTCAATAAAAATGGTGTACAAGCTAACTTTTCATTCATATATCAGGGAATGCATCTCAAAAGGGTTAACAGTGAAATACTTGATAGCTGATGAAGTAATTGATTATATCAAACGACACAATCTTTACAAAGGTAAATAATCCAACAACTGAATCCAATTGTAACTTCTTCTTTTTTTGTAAAATAAGTGCAAGTACATATCCTGCTTCATGTGATTAAAACACATATAAAACCCATGATTTATTATAAACACACACATTTATTTATTATACAAAACACAGGTAGCTTACTAGTACATAACATAAAGTTCTTACTGTACATCAACATAGAGTTCTTAACAAGGAAACTTAAAAACACACACACAAACTTGAAAACACAAACATATTGTTACTCCAGATAGAGTTCAAACGGTAAAACATACTTAAAAACATTATTATTCCAGCTGGAAAATACCACAACACAATGACACCTGCTTGTTCACATCATCAGTCTACTATCCCAACTGTCCAAATGGATAAGCAGGCATAATAGTTGAAGTAGAAGAATCAGAAGGACTTCCATCATTCTATGCTAAAAATTATAAAATGTGATACAGAAAGGGGAATGGACAACATGCAAAAAAGATGTTGTTGAAGCAGGATTACAATTTTCCAAAATGGAGAGTTACTGAGACAAATAACTACTAATATTCCCCTTATGTTGAAGGTCCTTGTTCCTAAAAATGCTAGCCATATGCTAACAAATCTATTTCCTAAGAAAGCAAGTCATAGATAATCTTTTTATTGTTTTACATGTAACAATAGAAAATACTTACTAGTTTGATTTCCCTAAGAATCTTGAGTCACTCCAACCACTATTTTTGCTTTTCTATATTCAAATGGACCTGCAAAATTTAAGTGCAAGTAAAAAACAATCAAGACTACAATTCAACTAACAAAAAGAAGTTGCACAAATAAAATAAAATTGCAGTATCACTTCTTTGGCCAACTAGAGGCACTTCAATCACTTATTTGGACTTATCAAATTCAAATAGACCTGCAAATTTTGATGGAAGTCAACAAAAATAAGAAGTTTATTTCAATTAGTAACAAAAAAAATACGAAGGAGATAAAGTAGAGAAAGTTAAGCAGAATTTCTTGATCAAACAGATTAACCAAACTAACTCTTTTGCAAGTGATCACCTCTTTGAGTATGTCGAGTCAATTCCATTTCTGGAAAGAGGGTGTCACTGTCTTCCATTGGATAAAAATCAGGAGGCACAGGGATACTTTTCTTTACATGCTTCTTTCGACTAGAAGTTGGGTAGTTAGAGCCTGTTTGGCTCAGCTTAAAAGCTGGTCAAACTGACTTAAAAGCTGATTTTTGACTTATTTAGCTGTTTGGCAATACTCAAAATAACTTATTTTAAGTTAAAAAAAACTTATTTTAAGCCAAAAGTTAAAAGCTGGAGTAGAGGTGCTTTTTTTTAGCTTATAAGCTATTTTAAGTTGACCACTTTTCTATCTTTTTGCCCTTAATATTTTTATGCAATCTCCAAATTACCCATATAACCCTAACATTTCTTTCTTCCATTTTTCCCTTTTAACGTTTGACATAACAACTTCAGCACTTTTATCCAAACGCATAACTGCTTATTTTAAAAATAAGTTTAAGCACTTTTAAAAGTACTTTTTTAAAGCAGCTTTTATTAAGCCCATCCAAACGGGCCCTTAATCTATTTTCGCCAATCATAGTCCTTTTTTCAACATTAATCCTTATCCTTTGTCCCTGGCCCTTTGCAACACTAGTCGAAGTGTATTGATTCATTTCAGCTTCTTGATGGAGGGGAGCATTGTCTTTCTTTTCCTCAAAACAATGATGCACATGGAAACTATTATCTTCTAGCTTTTCAACTTAGAAATAGATGTATAGTAACTTCTATTTTTGATAATCGGAGTCCTTGGTTTAGCATTAACTTTGATAGTTCTCATAGATTTCAAACCTTGACCTAGTCCTTTTGCTAAGGCACCTGGTTGAATGAGTTCATGCTTTGGAATTTTTGAAACTTGTCCCATTTCATACTTCAGAGTTTTTGAGGGATTCATGTCAACCTAGATAATAATTAAAAAAAATAAGAGTGAAGTCTTCAAAAAAAAAAGTTCAAATAGGTTAGGAAATTTTTCATAAGAATAGTGTGAATTGAAAAGGCATTAAGAAAAGACACATGTACATGTAGCGCAGGTTCCTAGCATGAACCATTACTACTATAGTAAGATCAAGGTAACATTAAAAACCAAGTGCATTAAACAAATTTTCATAGAAATACTACAACTAATCATTACCATAAAAAATTAATAAAGTAAACACAAGCATGACAAAGCTCCAAACCTTAATGAGTTCTTTTTCTTTTCACTTGTGTAGAGTTATCTAAATCTTCTAAATCATCATCCTTTTTTTCCAAATTATCAAAAGAATCACGAGGTTGAACCTTTTGCACTATGTGCCAACCTTTATTGGAATGATCGATAGCATAAAACACTTGTGATGCTTGGCTAGCTAATCCAAATGGCTCATTTATTTTCAAAATATCGCCAACGGTTAACACTTACAAATACATATTCATCCATTTTAACTCCCCTCTTTGATCATACACATCAAATCACATGCATCGGAATAAAATAACTCTTCTTCCCCAATAAATTGTAATTCAATAACCTCGGCTACCTCGCCATAATAATTCATATGGTTTGGTTCTTCACCGGTCTCACCTACTACAACCACTCCAGAATTTGGAGTTTTTAGATATTGATCATACTCTTTCACATGAAACCTATATCCATTAACAATATGGACTTTGAATCTTGTGACATATGGCATAGGGCCATGTGATAAAGATAGTAAATCTTCCACTCTCTTACTATCATCATATTTGTATAATCCTGCAACCTAACAACATCAAATAGTTTCTAAGAAGACAATATTTAATTGCATTCTTGGATTAAGAAAACCGGTTAATTTCTACTAACCTTTTTTTGTAACCAACTAATGGATTTTCTATTCCACTCCACATCTAAACTTTGTTGAGAGGTCTCACTATGAATTTGTGAAAATTCTCTAACAAAGAATTGAAGTTTTACGTGTTATATATTTTAAATTAAACATATCGACAAGGTATAAATACATTATTAGATTAAATTAATACTTACTCGAGGAATGGTTGAATTTCATTACAATTCTTCAAAATATAATAGTGTGCGTCCTCCAAATCGTTTGAATCAAGTTTGTCTGATGTTCTACCCTATAAACTTTTTCTAGGTTCACAAAATATTTCCAAACCACCAGCATATTCAATTACACCGCCATCATAATTTCTCTCCGGACAATTAAACATTGTTTTTGTTGTATTCAAATACCTTGAACATAAAGTCATACATTCAACTGCTAAATATCCCTCTACAATTGAACATTCAGGGTGAGCCATCTTACCAATAAAACACTTCAAAAAGTGTAGGTATCTCTTTGTTGGATACATCCATCGATACTGAATTGGTCCAGCAATCTTAGCTTCATCAGGTAGATGAATAGACAAGTGCATCATGACATCAAAAAGTGCAGGAGGGAACACCTTTTCTAACTTGCATAATGTTTTTGGTATTTGAGCTTCTATTTGTTCCAACTCCTCTACGCTCAAACATTTTGATCCAAGCACTTTGAAATAAATAGACAATTCAATTAGAGATTCGGACACAGATTTGCAAAGCATACCACGCATGGCAAGAGGGAGTAAATGTTGTAGAATTATATGACAATCATGACTTTTTAATCCTGAGAATTTTTTATCCTTAAGGTTGACACATTGAGAAATATGAGAAAAATCCGTCTGATACCTTTAAATTCTTCAAAAATTTGAATTTTTTTTGCTTATATTCATCAGATAATGTGTAAGGTGTTGCTGGCAACTCATATTTATCTCCATTTTGTATCGAATGCAATTCTTTTCGTATTTTCATTTTTTATAAATCCAACCTAGTGCTCAAGGTGTCTTTTATATTCCCTGAGACATCTAATA